GCAGAGGCCAGGTAATATGGGAGGGCCAGTGCTGCAGGCTGGCTGGCTATACGTGATCCCTGTGCCAAAGGGCACCACCTATATACTCTGCGCAAGTAGCAATATAATGGCAGCATCTATCTCGGCCTGTGCATGCATGAAGAACAACTATAAAAAGGCCGGCATCTCATGTGTTGTGTTGAAGGATGCTGGCCCCCCAGACTACACAGGACACACACAATGCAAGCACACGTACTGTTGTCCTTTGGAGCTCCAATAATCATGTGAAAAGAATCAGCATCTGATCTGATGACCGATCGATTTGGTGGTGCGCCACATTCATCTGATCATGGTGCAATCATCTTGGATACGTGTAAGGCGGCGAGATGGGCAAATGGCAATATATATATCACCGCTAAACAAAGGTGTGTATGGCTGTATGCCATCATACTTAATTTGTAGGGTATAACTTATAAAGCGTTCCTACTGCACTAAAATGGCCGTGCGTGCTGCTACGTCGTCTTCTATTGTGGTTGAGAATTAGTAAGTCTGCCAATGCAAGATGCTAGAATGTGGGAGGGAAACAACATGGGAAGGCAGTAATGTTTGCTACGGCGGAGATTTGGGATTGGTGTGGAAATCTCTTCTCTCTTATAATCCTAAAACCCAACTAGAAGTCAATCTCAACATGCAAGCCTTTCTTGTCAGTAGTCCACTAGCGCATGTAATTATGTCACATATTTAGGCCCTGTTTGGCATGGCTCCACTTCACCGGTCAAGCCATTTTTTCCAGCTTTAGCTCTACGAATGGCTCTTCCGATGGAGCTGGAGCTGTCTTTTTTTTTTGCCCATTTGGCAAAATGGCACCTCCCGGTAGACAAAAGGTACAAAATGATTGTAATACCCATCTTTTTTTATTTTTTCTCCTATACCTTCTACTACTTATTCGTCGATTTCACGGGCTTTCACCCCGGCGACCGCTCCCGCCCCTACATGATTCGGCCGCGCGTCTGCGTCGCGAGCCACAGTGACCGCGCGCCCCCTCGGCCGCGCGTCTGCGTCGCGAGCCACGGTGACCGCGCACCCCTGTGCCGTCCATCCCCGCGCCGCGTGCCCCAGCGAACGCGCGCGCCTGTGCACCTAGACGGGGGCACTCTCGTCCTGCTGTCCACGTGGGCGAGGTGAAGCCGGGATAAGCCACTATTTTTGGCTCCATCCCATCCAAAACCTCTGTGAGAGCACGTTTTAGTGGTTTCACCCGTGGAGCCGTTTCATTTAACTCTGTTTGGTAGAAAACGGCTCCAAATAGGGCCTTATTCATGCAAACTGTCCACATTAGCAAACCACTTCATCCAGTAATAGAAATTTATTTGTCCATATCAGCATGTCACACGATCCACTTAAATTTATTCATGATCCCCGCAGCAACGCGTAAGGTATGGTTCTAGTTAGTTAAAACTACTGCTACATCAGACCAGTGATGCTGCACGGGCTGGTAGTTTTAAGCAACATAAGTGTAAAATTTATAGGTAAGTTTTGGCTCCATCAATACAAGACTAATGATTTTCCCCCAACAGATTTATTTACAAATGTCTAACAATTTCTAGTATATTTGGATAACTAACTACTATAATTGTGGGTAATTAGTTTGTTGGGATCTGATAAACAGTTTTTTTATAACTGGGATCTGATAAACAGTTGGGAAAATGCAAATTTATACTCAAAAAAATGTTGGCTAGTTGAGGAAAAAATAATAAAACTCACAGAAATACTGGCAACTCATAGAAACAACTTTGATAAATTACTCTGAAATAGATTATTCGGTATTTCGTGTCTTTATCTAGTTGATGAAATAGATGCTCTAGTTGATTAAACTCACACAAATACTGGCTAAACGAGTTATTTGTTTACATCCTTTTTTTTTATCAGAAATCAAATTAGACGTACATATATATCTACAAAAGTATGTGGGTCAGATGTACGGCTGAAAAGGTACTATGTCACTCGTTAAACATTCTAAGAGCCGTGTTTATTTAACCGGCATATAACTGTACTGTGTTTCGCAGAAAGCATAAATTACAAGCTGCATGACCCCATCATCATCATCATTCAGAATCCATGATGCACACGCGGTTGGATGACAAACACCGGCAGTCGATGGTTCTATTCCGTTCCGTTACTCTGCCTCCGCCTGTTCGTTCATCCCTGGCAGGCAGGCCATGTGGTGAACAGGGAGACACGCAACGCAAAAGGACCCCTGCAGCTGCAGACCAACCAAACAAGGACACAGTTGATGCACAGATCGCCCCGGTAGTTAATCCGCCCACGCCCCTAATCAGCACGGAACCGAGATTAATCAACCAGTCAAGGATGCGTGTAATGTGAACTCCAGACCTATCATTGGAAAGGTGTTTGTCACAGGATGGAGCAACAGGCCCTGCCTGCCCCCACAGTCCTCCTGAAGCCCTTTCCCTATGTTCTTTTTTCCTCTCATTTTCGAGAGCCAGTGTTCGGTGTCCGATGTGGAAAGCAGTCACTGTGAGGTGGTGTGGAAACAGCGCAGGCCTGTTCGCTTGTTGGTTTCTGGACTGATAAGATCGGCTGGTGCTGGTTTATCGTGAGAGAAAAATATTATTGACTGACTGATAAACCCTGACTGAAACCAATAAACAAACAGGCTGCAAATCCAACCCGCTGGAATTTGTGTGACGAAGGTGCGGCAGAGGCGGCAGCTACACGAATTGACGACAGCTTAGCTGGTCGTGTCATTTAGAATGGAATCTCTAAAAAAATAGCTTAGCAAGAAACTGTTTTTATCTTTTTCTTTTCTTTAAGATGGATTAAAGCTAGCGAAACTAGAAAATTTGCCTTCACTAGCTCTTACTCCTCCGGACACAATAGCAAAGGACCATAGCTAGAGAAACCCTCCCAAAGAAGCCTTAAATCTCCAAATTAATACTAATGTTCATTTTTTTTTGTTAACTGTATTATATTCTTTTCATTGTTCGCCTAAACGCTACATGGTGGTACATTATTTCCATTGAATCGACCGTTTATCTGATTTAAACGACCACTTTGCACGTTTAAGTGGCCATTTAGTTTGAATAATGGCTAAACAACAAGTGGCCATCTATTTATAGTTTACCGTTTAGGATAATACCGATTCTTTTAGGTCTGTTTGGAACGTAGGAATTCCGCTAGAATCACGCAAGAATTTCACAAGAATCAATTCAATTTGAAAAAAAAAACTCACGAACATGAAATTTTTTCCGTGTTCCAAACAAGTCCTTAGTGATGGACCATAATGCTAGTCAATAGTAAGGCATAGGAGTAAGTAGGTATGTCTATAGTGTGTTTTGTTAAGGGGAAAAAAACTGACGCGATTGCTACCAATGCAAAGGTTAGGGTCAGAAAAGGGAGCAAAAGCTCTGCTGGGGCTTCTGGATGGAGAAGGAAAGTAACCGGACATTGGGAGGAAGGCACCCAGCTAGAATTGAAGCTAGACCAACCAGTAAATGAGCGCCACAGACGACATGCATGGTTGGCTGAGTGGGTGATGAGTAATGTTGCCACAATCTCACAGACAAGTACTTGATGCGGCGCTTCTCCCTCTTCACCCCCAGCAGATAGGAATAGGAGTAATCGTCCTAGTAGATGCCGAGCAATATATCTTGCATGCATCAATCATCATCATTTTGTGGCACCTCAGCTTGTTCTAAAATCAAAGTAACAGAGAAGAAGAACATGCTATAGAATTCAGGGATCGCTTATATATGCATATAAACATATATATAGTTGCATACACGTACGTCGTACCTAACTGCCCCAAAACGTTCTCTTTGCATTACATATGTGCACGCCATGCATCTTTCTCTCTCTCTCTCTCTGGTCGATTTGCATAACATGGTTCGCCTTTTGCACTACACATGATATTGGAAGAAATGGCGCAAAGCAGTATTCCTACTACCGCTGCTGGGCATGCATTTGAGCAAATGAGAACGATGTGTGCGTTTTAGTATTCTGCTGCCTGCCCCTGTGCATAGGCGCGTCCACGTGGCCGCCTCACGCCTCATCCTCAATCATCCCCGATAGAAAATCCCCCACCCAGCCTTTTGGCGGCACTGTTGATGTGCTACTCGGCAGCACGGCACAGCCAGCCAAGCCAACAGCGGGGATGTTTCGGTTGGAGTTGGAGTTGGACGGTTGGACCCCCAGCTGAGCTGAGCTGAGCCTGAGGTGAACAACCTCTGATGGCCTTGTCAAAGGTTCTCCTCTGCAGCATGTCCCTTGCCGGCTCCGCTCCTCCTCAAATATTCTCGCTCTCGCCCGCCCACACGGCTGAGCCGACTGTTCACCGGCGCTGCCGACCACGTACTATGGCTAGAGATAGAAGAAGAAAGGAAGAATAGAGCGCGTACACAAACAGCAGAAGTACCAGCGCTGGCCGAAGCTGTGCAGAGGAGATGGTAAAACTGAACTCGCTCACTCTACTAAGTTGCAGTGGGAAGCTATATATACAACTCTACCCATCTAATCCTAATGCACAGACATGTCAGGCTGCCGTGCTGCTACAGTGACTAGATGTGACAGCATTACTGACTTTGGTGTCTGCTCCTGCTGTGGCTACAGTGCAGCAGGTGAGCCTTTCGGGGTCTGCCCCTGCAGCGGCTACAGTGCTGCAGCAAGAGAGCCTTTTCGACATCTGCCCCTGCCGTACAGATAAGAGTAGCAGATTACTTAACACCATCCTCAACCATTTCATTCCTTACCTCCTTCCCCTCACCTTCCTGGCTTTGGCTTCCTCTCCCCCCGCACGCGCACGCACACGCTACACGCACACACCCAAACGCTCAGCTGCTTATTGCACCTTGCAACGAGCACCCAGCAGCTTCGTTCTGCTGCCCCGCTGCTGCCGGCCGTCAGAGGGAAACCCGGCCAGCTCTAACTGAAGTGGTGGCGGCATACTGGAAACTAGCTAGCTACTCTATCTTCTTGTCCTGACTCCTGAGCGCACGCGCGCCATGGCTCAGGAGGACGTCCACCACCTGGACGATGCCGGCCTGGCGCTGGGCCTGTCCCTCGGCAGCGGACGGCTGAGCAGGGAGGCGCGGCTGCTGTCATCGCCACGCCTTCTGGAGCCGTCGCTGACGCTGAGCATGCCGGACGAAGCGACCGCGACCGCGACCGCGTCTGGCGCCGGCGGCGGGGCCGCGCACAGCGTGTCGTCGCTGTCAGTGGCGGGCGTGAAGAGGGAGCACGTGGACGACGTCGAGGGCGAGCGGGCGTCGTCGACGGCCGCGGTGGCGGCGCGGGCCGGCGCCGAGGACGACGACGACGGGAGCACGCGGAAGAAGCTGAGGCTGACCAAGGAGCAGTCCGCGCTCCTGGAGGACCGCTTCAAGGAGCACAGCGCCCTCAACCCGGTACGTACTACTACTACTACCCCTGGCCCCTGCGTGCGCGACACGTTCGATCCGGTGACTCCCGATCATCGATTGACTGGTTGCTTTGCTGCTTGCTACACACCACACCACACCACAAATAGCTGCACTTGCCTACATCGATTAGTCGACTGCTAAGTACATCAAGGCCGGTTATTACAACCACATATATACTGCATATATACTAGTTGTCTCTTTTTTTTTGCACATGTATGTATTTTATTAATTAATATGTGACCAAAGAAGTACAGATATTCTTCTTCATTATATTTCCCCTGTCGAGAATTCGAGATGAGTTATTTTTCTGAACATGCTCCTTTTGCTTTCTGTTGGGGTGTCCTTTTGGCTTTGAGCAGAAGCAGAAAGTCGCGTTGGCGAAGCAACTGAACCTGAGGCCACGCCAGGTGGAGGTGTGGTTCCAAAACAGACGAGCAAGGTTAGTACTCGTGTATTGCGCGATACGCACGCACGCCCATCACAAAGTTTTTTTTTTTTTGGGGAAAATGTCCCGAAGACGGTTTTCGCTTGCGGCCATGCCATGCATGCACGCAAACCAGTGAGCCCACAGAAGATAAAGATATCTCTACTATATATGCTTAGATTTAATTAGGACTAAGCTCTTCTGACGTACGGTTGATGAATTAACGTGGTTTTGCCGCGCGCGCAGGACGAAGCTGAAGCAGACGGAGGTGGACTGCGAGCTCCTCAAGCGCCACTGCGAGTCGCTGACCGAGGAGAACCGCCGGCTGCAGCGGGAGCTCCGCGCGCTCATGTTCGCCCCGCCACTCCCACAGGCGCCGCCGTCGTCCGCGGCGCAGGCGGCCGCGGGCGTGCCGGCGCCACCGTTCTACATGCAGATGCAGCTGCCGGCCGCCACGCTGAGCCTCTGCCCGTCCTGCGAGCGCCTGGCCGGGCCCGCCGCCGCGGCCAAGGCCGAGCCCGACAGGCCCAAGGCAGCCACCCACCACTTCTGCAGCCCCTTCACCCACTCCGCCGCCTGCTGATGACGATTTGCGCCTGCCTGCGCATCTATCTACCTCGGCGCGTGCATGATGATGATGAGCAGCAGCAGCAACAGAGCACCACCCACCACTGCAGATAATACCACGTACACTCCACTCCATCCGCCTCACCTCGCGTACGCCACAAATAACATACGCTATTTTCTGGATCCCGAGGGTTAAGTTAGTTGTTCGTGTTCCCATCAGCAGCTAATCAATCAATCATAGGCTTATTGATAGGGTAGTAGTCAAGGTAGCCGTAGCTTGATTATTCCTAGCACTCGATCCATCCATCCATGTATATTTTTGTGCATGCATGCTGTAATTCTGTCCCTCTCCGTCTACTTGCTCCCTTTTCGATTGGAGTTCGTAGCTTCTTTTGTCTTTTGTCTTTTGTCTTTGTTTCATTATTCACACAGGTCAATATAATCATCGTCGTCCGAGGGCGTAGTTTTAGGATTGATCCTCCCTGTACACCGATTACTGGATTGAGATGCTTCTAGTCTTCTGCTACACATACATACATACTGATGAGCGTATGTACGTACGTCAGACTACAGTGTTGGATGCTGACATGAGAGACAGGTAGAGAAGAGAAGCCTCTGCCGCCCGGCCTGTGTGGCTTGGACCTGTCTGCAGGTGTACGTGTGTGTACACGCACCCCTTTTTATATGCATATATAGTATATATACGCGTCATCTATCAGCTGTCATTTTGGAACGTACGTACAGTACGCCCTCATTATTAGGCAGGCACGCCGGGATCCGATCCACATCCGCCGGTTACCATATGCGTACCGATGGTGTGACTGTGTGAGGCTGTGAGCGCGCCGGCCAACGCCCAACGAGGGCGCGCGTGAGCGAGAGCCATCACGCGGCATATCATGACGCGTAAAGGGAGGTGGTGTCGGGCCGTCGGGGCGACGACGGGGCCGGCCGCCCGGCCCGGTGCGCGCCGCGCTGCCGCTGCTGGTTTCAGCAGCATGCATGCGTATCTTACATGATCGAATTTGCTTTGCCTGTCGATTCTGAGTTTTCTGAGGCGGGCACTTTTGAAAATCGATGAAAGTGATGTAACGTAGACTCATCTTGAAATATAGTTTCATAAAAATCGATATATTGATCTATATTTTATAAATATTTTAACCTAGAACTATATATACGAGGAGTTAGGGTTTTCAAACCCCCTGTCTCTCTTTCCTCCACTGCGGTCGGCCCGACCTCCTCTCCGTTCAGCGATCCAGTCCAAGGCGGCGGCGACTCCCCACTCCCCACTCCGTCGCGCGAGACCGAGGCGCCTCTCCACTCGTCGTCACCACTCTCCATTTCTCCCCCGACGCGACATCCACCGGGCGGCGCTGGGGACATGGGGCGGCTGTATAGTATATATATACATCCACCGCGCGCCTGGTCTCCTCTCTCTCTCTCGTGCGTCATCTATCAGCTGTCATTCTGGAACGTACGGTTCAGTGGAGCCCTCATCCTATTAGGCAGGCACGGATCCGGGATCCGATCCACATCCGCCGGGTATCCTTCATCTCCCTCACTGCCCTCTCCGATCTAGAGCCGACACGACTGTGTGAGGCTGTGAGCGCGCGCGGCCAACGCCCTCCTCCTTTCGATCTTCGGCGCGCGCGAGAGCGAGAGCCATCACGCGGCGCTATTTCGGTTTGGGATTGACGCGTAAAGGGAGGTGGTGTCGGGTTTTTTCCGTCCGAGACATGGGGTAACGACGACGGGGTAAAAGTATATTTACCGCCATTGTGATAATCGGTTAACCGCGGCCTGGTGCTTGCTTTAAGCGCTGCCGCTGCTGGTTTCAGCAGCATGCATGCGTATGCCGAGTATGAGCCGGCTGCGGCGCCCGGGACGGAAAGCAGGAGACGATCTTCTTGCTTTCCGGCCGTTTGGTCGGTCGGTGATTATTGATCGATCGAGATGGAAGGGAAGCATGCTAGAGACGCCCCGGGCGGGCACCGCTCGGCGTGTCGGCGTCGGCGTGGCGTCGCCGTGCATGGCCTGTGTGGCCGTTGCGTTGATGTTGGCTGTCGGCCGGTATCATGAGAGCTAGTAGCTGCCTACAGCAACTGCCGGGGTCGGGCGTCGTCGTCGTCATCTATCCGCGTAATATACGTGTCTCCATGATGCAAGGGAAGAATCAGGAATAATCGATCGATTGCTTCATAGCCGGGCGGTGGAGAATCTCAAGCCCAGCCCACTGGGACAAACAATCCCGTTTGAAGCTTCGGCGTACTCATCTGGGATTCTCGTATGGTAGTACACTACTCGTATATTATAATATTTATTATTAGATACTTGTAGTACCAGATCGAACCTGTTTGATACTAGTAGGTCCTAATTATTAGGACATGTTTGGATCTATTTAATTATAATAATCAACTAAAATAATTTAATTGTGATCCAAACGTGTGAGATTATGAGGTAGATTATAAGTACTTTTCATTGAACTAAGAATAAATCCACCACAATAATCCAAGAATCCAAACACTCTGATTATTATAGTTCATAATCCAGATTATAATAGTTGTATGCGTAATTTAGATTATAATAATCCATCTATGCATGACCCAAACATTCCTTAGTAGCCGCTAAAAACTGATCCAACACATGCCCTTAGTAGGTGCTAAAAAACAATCCAGGTGATCGAAACAAAAGGCTAATAGGTACTCCCTCCCTCCATAAAAAAGAGTCCCTATGGGAATCGTGCTGGTCAAACTTTCTCAATTTTGACAAGATTTATAGAAAATACGTGCAATATTTATATCTCCAAATAAGTTTATTATAAAAACATATTCAACGATCTACCTAATTGTACTAATTATGTACCATAAATATTTATATATTTTTAAATATATTTGGTCAAAGTTAAAAGTTATTGATTTTTTGGGAAGAAGAATGACTTTTTTATAGGGACCGAGGGAGTAAGCTAAAAATTAGCCATGGCATTGACTAGTTGTAAGCCCATTTGTCAAGTATAACTAGCTAACAAAGACTAATAGTTCATTACTATGAATGTAGCGCGCCTATTAACCGGCGATTGAAACATGCAATAGCTAATACTAGTTAGCAAGCTAATTTTTAACTTCATCAAACAACTAGTCCTAGTCGATCTAAACCTAACCAAAATACTGTTAGAGAGCACAATATACGGTATCTCTCGTTAGCTATAGGCAGTTTGGCCGCTCAAGCATTTCGTCCTTAGGATGCTGTCCAGCTAGCCTAGGAGTATATGTATGTATGTATATATATGTATATATATATATATATATATATATATATATATATATATATAGCTTTAAATTTAAACGGGGGGAGGGTACTGTACGTCTGTACGTATCGCCTACCTAGAGTAGATGATTGAGCATCAAGTCATGCGCTCGCGCCTCGCGCGGACACACGGAGGCAGCGAAAGAGAGGTAGCCCCGGCCGGTTTCCCGTGAAGGCGATCAAACGGAAACACTGTCCAACGACATAACGCCGGTCACACGGCGCGCATGCACTCCGCGCGGCGTCCTCGCTGCAGATCCCTGCCTGCCTGCCTGCCGCGAGGCCGCGGCCGTTCGAAAGAGTTAAATGTGGCTCCCCCGCGCCCCGACGTGTGGCGTGCCTCCCGCCGACCCTCCTCCCCCGCTCGGCGTACGCCGTGTGGCGCCCGTTGCCACCGGCCGGTCCCCGCACGCCGTGTGCGCGTCAACCGCCAACGGGCACGTCACAACTTATAACCAGTCCGATATCTCCCAAGTCCCAACTGTACTGCTTGAATCACCACCTGCCTGCAGCCAACAGCTAGCTAGCGGAGGAATGATGCGATGCGATGCAGTGCAGTGCAGTGCAGTGCCGGTGTGAGGTCTTATCTATCTGGGGATGGATTTGGGTGCAGCGCGCGTTATCCTCTGGGGCTGCTTTCTGCCTGCTCATCGGATCGCCCGGGATTTCCGAATATATGCACGCCGAATCCGAATCCGAATCCGGGTGACGGAAGACGTATGAGTCCACCTGCTTTCAAAGGATTTCCCTAAAAAATACCTGCTTTCAAAGGAACACTCACGAGTCAGAGGACTCAGCAGATCAGGAGACACTGGCACTGCTTGCCAAGAACAGAGATTAGGGAAAGAAATTCCCAATTACTTGAGCTTTGCGCCCAGGATACTGGGGAAACGACCCTAGTTACTCCCTGAGACCGCAGCCATAGAGTAGATCATGTCAGAAGGTATTTGAGTAAGATCTCCGAAATAACATTCCACAAAAGGCATCGGAATGTCTCCATGAAGTTTCATTGGAAATACGACGAACACTAGCACCGGACAATGGCGACAAAGACCTCCAAAGGTTTCCGTTGTACACTGCAGCGCTAGATCTTCACGGGGCCCAAACAACAACATTTAATTTGCAGAGACAATAAACCAGAGTTACAAATAAATGATGAACTCAAGTTGCACTCCACACAAGCACGGACGACGAATCTCATGGAAACAACAAAGCAGTCGATTCATCATAGTATGAAAAGTGCACCCAGGTCCTTGCTGGAAAGAGGATTTGGGATGAACTGCTCTGAAAAATGATGAAGAGGATAACCACTTCTAACCTAAGAGTAGACAAGGAGATAATTTAGAGAAGAGGATAACCCCGCTTTTTTATTACTAAAATAAAAGTGTACAATGTTCAAGCATATTCAAGGAGCGCCCACCACAAATACTCTGAGCCTATAAGCTCAGGAGTCAGGTCTGTGCAATCTTAGTACAAACATTAACTCTAATCTCGCCTTCTGAATCTTAGGAAGCAGCACTGCCGATTGCCTGAGTTAAGCACCCTGTTTTCTCTCTACCCATCTGTTGCTTGAATCGCGCCAGTCCAATTTCGATCTTCTCTGCTCCTCCGAAGCTTCCAAACTTGAACCCTATCGATACAACACTCATGCGTTCGGTATGATTTTATGAATGTATTACGTTCCCGACTTCCCGTGACACGTAAACTTAACGTTGG